AGATGATAAAATAAGTTTCCTTATTCCTCGCCAGCAGAGCTTCTCTTTATTATACGGGAACTGCGTTTGGGTTATTCGGCAGTTGAGAGTGTACCCCTACTTCTGCCACCCTCTTTTGACCACACCATGTTTAACCTGGATCAATGTGTTAACCTCCTACGGGGTCTCCCAGCTGCTATCTTTATGAGAGGCCACAGTATGCCCAATACTTGTTAATAAACTTGAGATCCTGCCACAACTGTACTTAAAGCTCTCTAATTGCTCCTCATTTAATTCAGAAACTAAAGTCTTGAAAACACAAAATGTTTACAGTAGACTATCAGGCAATTTTACAATTTGCACATACCTCAACCGATTCACAGTCTGACTTAATCAAACAATATCCTCTTTCTCCTGGTCTACCACCTTTCACATGCTTTCCCTTACTTTTAGATCAAATATCAATTACTTTAGATCAATTTATCAACCCTATTCCTGCAATCTTCCATCGTGTTCTCCTTGTTTTGATACCCACCCACCCACTGCCCTCACGTTTATTCCAACTCAAAATGACCCTATAGGGTTTCTGAGGTATGTAAATCTTTATGGGAAAGGATGGGATAGCCTTGTCTTTCTTCCACTGAGTGGATGGTCGAGTTGAAACACCACCCTTGTGGTAAGTAGCTCAATGCTTACCTGACAACATCAACAAGGCTCCTATGGTTGGATACACTCTTTCTGAAACACCGCCATCTTCTACTTCTGCAATCACCTGGCGTCTGTCTTAGGATGCCATGATCATTGGGGAAATCCCCTCCTTTGCAAGTTACAATATCTGATTTCAGATGGCTCTCTTTTGGAGGATCCAGGCATTTTTTTGCCGGGTCTACATTCTCACTCTTACTGTCCAATGCCTTTTTTTCCTCTTCATTAATATTTATTGAACATTTTACCTTGCTTCTAGAAATTTGACTGTGAGGTTGGACTAGATCAGTAATAAGATAACTATTAAAACTTTTTATGTTTTGTTAGATAATTTTATCTAATGTATATCTATTTAATAAACAAGATAAGTAGGTAAATACGTACTTATAGAAGGAACAGAGTGAAAGTGCTACAGGACCTCTAGGGGCATGGTGGTCATGGGACACATGCTGCAAACAATTGTTAAAGTATGAAAATTCCGTTAAAGGAACTATGATGGAGTACGAATCTCTGAGGAGAGGAGAACGTTAGCATCACCTTAGTGTGAGGAGAGCGCTTGGCCTGCAGGAGGCCCTGCACATGCTTTCGGGAGAACAGAACATGGGCGTGCACAGGATGACGGGAGGACAAGGGCCACGTATGATCCACCATCTCTTTTATCTCCAAGAAAACTGTGGTTCTTCCTACCAATATTATCTTTGTTTTACATCATGGTTCTAGGCTAACTTACATCACACCAAGTTGCCTGGGTTGCAAATTCATGGAATAAATAGCTTATCACCCCGGTTCTCAACCTTCCTACTGCCGCGACCCTTTCATACAGTGCTTCATATGGTGGTGACCCCCCAACCATAAAATTATTTTTGTTGCTCTTTCATAACTTTAATTTTGCTACTGTTATGAATTGGGTGAAAGGACTTTTCGACCCCCAAAGTGGTTGTAACCCACAGGTTGAGAACCGCTGGCTTCTCACTTTTTGTTTGTCTTAACTAATGATAAAAATTAAAAATTTAAATTGCAATAAAAATCTTGAGTTCAGTAAAGCTGTAGATTTGTGTGTATGTCTTCAGAAAAGTACAAGGATCTACATGTGATCTCCTCCCTGGGGGACAGACAACAGAAAAGTGGGTGAAGGGAGACATTGGACAGGGCAAGATATGACAAAATAATAATTTATAAATTATCAAGGGCTCATGAAGGAAGGGGGAGCAGGGAGGGAGGGGAAAAAATGAGGACCTGATGCCTGGGGCTTCAGTGGAGAGCAAATATTTTGAGAATGATGAGGGCAATGAATGTACAAATGTGCTTTACACAATTGATGTATGTATGGATTGTAATAAGAGTTGTATGAGCCCCTAATAAAATGATTAAAAAAGAAGAAAAGTACTTCAAGGAATCATTCATTTGTATTTACCTAGTTTGTATTTACCTACCTAATTCTGGTACCTAGTGATCATGTAGGGCAAAGAATTGCCTCTATGGGTTTCTGAGGTGGTCAGTCTTTATGGGCGTACAAAGCCTCATCTTTTTTGCATGAGTGGCTGGTGGTTTTGAACTTTTGCACTGCTGACCAACTCATCACACACCAGGGCTTATTTTTCACAGATAGGCTACAGGACCTTTCGGAGCAGGGAAGATAGAGCAGGAGGTTCCAGAGATTGCCTTCCTGTGGCCTTGGGCTGAGTGGTGTGCTGAGGACTGTAACTCAGGCAGGGAACGAGAGGTTGTATAAATTTTTTTCTTAGAATAAAGAATTAAAGGTATTCACACATATGAAGAAATAATCAGATATAATGTATTTGAGCTATTTTATTTAATGTATCACTCAATATTATATTTGCATACAATTTCATGCCACTCAATTTCACTCTTTTCTGGTCTTTAGTCTCTTCCTGCTTCTGAGATCAACAGCATAGGCTATTTGTGCTAATATTCCTCTCTCTGTTTTATTCATTAGATATACCCTCCCTCTGCCCTAGTTTTCTCCCAGGCACCGTCAAAAAATGTGGCCAAGGTAGATCAAACAGTCTTTAAAACATTGCTATCAAGGCAAAATGAAAACCAAATAACTAAATAAAGGAATATATTTGAGGAAATGGTGATTGGTGAATTACCATTAAGATGACCAATATAACCCTACTCCTCTCCCTGCTCCTCTTTTCATTGTGGTAAATACATATGTAAATGTGGTGCACATGATAAATGTATGAGATTGCACCAAAATTTTCTTTTTATTTCAAATAATTACTGATTAGACTTGTAACTTAGAGTTACCTTTTGTAGATCTCTGATGCAAACTTTATTTAGAAATTTACCTTCTAATCAAGATTTACTCCTTATTAGAATCATAATAATTAAAAAAAGACAGCTGTAGTAGTTGTCTTGTATCTTTCTGTCCCAGGATCTTCACCTTTTATATTTTAATAAATAAATCCTAAATTAATATTTTCTATATGGATTCTTATTATTATTTTGGTTGGTTAAACTTGCCATCTTCCTAGGTTGAAAAAGCTCATCTTCTTTAATGTAAATTTGCATGCTTGCTTGTAGCATTCTCATGAGGTGATGTCATTTGGAGACAGATCTAGAATACCATTGTATTATGCGAATTTATAGGTTTAGTATTAAGGTAGCAGAAGGACATTGGGCCTACACTCAAGTATTCCCTCAATAGAAGAATACTTTCTTCTATTAAATTGGCATTCTATGATGCTCACCTTTCTGACACAACCACTGAAGACAAAGTGGGTGAATAAGCAAATGTGGTGAAGAAAGCTGATGGTGCCCGCTATCAAAAGATATAGCGTCTGGGGTCTTAAA